ATACATTTAGAATACCCTCCCTGAATCATCCACTCAAGTAGTTTAATCACTGATGTATGCTCAGAAAAGGCAGCATCCAAAAGATACAGTGTGCCCAATAGAACATTTCCTGGGGTTGAAGATACACTGTTATGCCCCCCATGATACACAAAAGGAGGCTGCAGACTTTGGGACCTTAACATCTTTTAACATTCAAATCCCACAGCATCCCCTGTTTTGATTTCCAGCTCACCAACCTGGGTGGGCAGACACTGGCATGGACTAGGCTTACAAGTTACAGTTGTCATTGTGAATGAAGATTGACATTCTGATTTTACAGGCTAGTCTCTTGAGAGCTCACCCCAAGGGCAGGTTAGTATGAGTGAGCATCCTCCAGTCCAAAGGCTGCCTCTCCACTGTGCTCAATTCCCCATGGGGAATGCCACCCAGTAAAAGGTGGGAGGAGCCAGCCAGTCTCTCCAATAACCCCTCTCTGCTTATACAGGCTTATCCCTGGTAACTTCTGTCATCATCAGTAGTTATTGAACATTAGTTTTCTACATTAATACATCATGTCATTGTCTTTAAACAGCGATGAAACTTGTAACAGTTGTTTCAACCTTCTCTGAAGCTCATTTTAACATCAAGAAGCAATCTCTAACCTGCAGGGCTGGGACTAGGGTGAAGTGAGTAAGATGGTTAGAGTGCAAAATTTAAGGAGGCATTCACTCTCAGGGTCCTGCCAGTGCCCTGAGCATATTTTAGGTCAGCTTTGTCGTATCACCTGTATCTCCAGCTCCAGTGAAGAAGGGAAGTCACTGGTGATGACATCAGCTGAGCTTACGGAAGGTGAGAAGGAGAACCAAGTTCTTGACTTTTCTCTTCTCTCCTTTTTGTCATTAACATTATTGGAAAAACATGTTCTACGCCAGCAGCCTCTTCCTCCTCTTTTATTCACATTTTTATCTATTTTCACCATTTTATAGAAATTACTAAGATCACAATATGCAAAATTTGTTGGCCTTATTTTAGCTTTTCTCTAAATAGTATCTCCTCAGCTATTGACATTGACAGTGGGAAAAGTTTTGTGTCTCATTCACCATGTTTTTATCAGCATCTATCACAGATCACAGTGATTGGCTCCTAGAAAGCATTAAGTAAATTTTTATTGAAAAAATAACTTCTTTTATTGACAAAAGACACAAAATCATTCCCCTTTTGTTGTGTTCTCACAGCATTTTGTTCATGGGATCTTGTACATCATTCATATTTACTCATCTGTGTTCCGGAGGGATTGAGAGCAACAACTGTGTCTCATAGTTCTTTGTATCCCAGTCTAGCAAAGGGCCTGACATATAATAGGTGTTCAGTAAAAGTTTATGGAATAAATAAAATTGGTGGCTAATGACACAATGACTATGTTCTAGTTACTCCAGTGATTTGTGATGAATCATTTCAAAATAGTGCTGATATGGTTTGGCTGTGGCCCCACCGAAATCTCATCTTGAATTGTAGCTCCCATAACTCCCATGTGTTGTGGGAAGGACCTGGTGGGAGATAAGTGAATCATGGTGTGGTTTCCCCATACTGTTCTCATGGTAGTGAATAACTCTCACAAGATCTGATGATTTTATAAGGGGTTTCCCCTTTTTCTTGGCTCTCATTCTCTCGTATGCTGCCATGTAAGATGTGCCTTTTATGATTGTGAGGCCTCCCCAGCCACGTGGAACTAGGAGTCCATTAATCCTCTTCTTTACTAAATAATCTATCTCTGGATGTCTTTCTCAGCAGCAATAAAACCAACTAATATAGTGGGTTAAAACAATAATCGTTCATTTCCTCTCACTTTTTCTGTTGGTCAGGAATCTAGGAAAAGCTAGGCTGGATAGCTCTCACTGCTTCAGTGACAGAGGGGAGAGGCCATTGATGTGGTTGCAGTCAGATGTCAGAGCTGCAGGAAACTGAAGGCTTGACTGGGGCTGAATGATCCCCTTCCAAAGTCGCTTACTCACACTGCTGGCAAGTTAGTGCTGCCTGTTGGTGAGGGAGCTCTGTTCCTCTCCTTGTGGGCCTCTCTACAAGCCTGCTTGAGTGTCCTCATGACATGGCAACCAGCTTCCCTGAGAGTAAACAATCTCAAGGTGAAAACTGTGATGCCTTTTATGACCTAGACTCAAAAGTCACATGCCATTTTATATCCCCCACATTTTGCTGGTCACATGGAACCCACATTCAGTGTGGGAGGCGACTGAATATCAGGAAGTGAGGATAATTAGGGCTGACTTGGAAACTGGGTACAATAGATGATTGACCATGAAAGAAAAATTTCAAATTAAGGCAAAGCTATTCTCCAGGCACACTTCTAAAGGTAATTGTAAGCTATGAAGCCTAGAAGAAATAGTTGTTGCCTGATTGGATGACCCTTATCTTTGAAGATATGGGCATCTGGATTAATTGTATTTCTCTCTGCCACTTATAGCAATACCTCAGTTCTCTCCTGATGAAGTTACTGACAGTCTATAAGGAATTAGTCTTTACCCATCCCCCAGACAGCACACCCAGCTCATAGAACACCAGACCAGAGTCTGGGGTTGGTTTAGGCTTAAGCAGCCTGGACTTTTCTTTGGGCAGGAACATGATTTTATTCCTCTGGTGCATTGAGGCTGCAATTAGTTTTAGGATAAAGTGCCAAATGTGTTTATCTGTATTCCCTGCGGCATGTCCCAAGGCCCAGTGACAGCAGGACTTCTGGTTCTGATGTATCCTCATAGAACCATCTGCACTCAGAGGAGCCTGGAGGAAACCCATCCCTGCCAACTGACCCTGGGGTCCTTTCACAAGATAGAAGGCAGAAACTCCAAGGAAGGCTGGAGGAAACCTATGAGAATCACATATTCCTTGGCTACAGATTTAATGACAAGTGCCCTTCTGAGCCGGGGGAGCGTCCAGTGTGTTTACTCATCCATTTTTTATTCCATTACTTGTAATGCTTCAGAAGAGATAAATTTCAAGGATCAAGAATAAAAAACAAAATAGAAATACATACTCAATGTAATAATTGGGAAAAAGGATTGTGGAATACATGTCTATTTTTATTCATGGAAAACAAGCCATTTTGGAGGGTAGGGGCAAATTTTTTTTGAAGTTAAATATTCCTATATATCCATGTTTACACTTTTTTTTTTAATCAAAATATGGTCTAAATCCTGAATTATCCAAATAAGAACTCTAAACATTATTTCTGAATGTGTCATTTTTTAAATTTAAATATGGCTATTTTTAGTATACAGGCTGAATTTATGTAAATGATGATTTACCAAATTCTTATATTAATTTTAACTTAGCTCCACTGACACCTTATTATGCACTAATTCAACACTCATAAATTCTATGGACCTTTTACCTTTCCTTTATTAACAACCTTAGTGCGATTAGCAAAAAGTCTTTAAGCTATGAAAACACTCAGTATCAGTTATAAGTCTAGAGTTGGCCTCTGAATTGTAAACTATTTCTTAGGAATAAATTCGTTCTGTAAAAATGTTAAACACTCTTAGCAAACCATATCGCATGGATTCTAGAATGTACAATTTTTCAAATTTAAATATCTTTGAATTAAGATGCATCTGAGAATGATTCTTAGGTTCCATGAAATGCGGTACGTTATTGCTTTGGTGTATTAGCCAATGCTCCAGTGGCCTGGAAAAGGCTGTGAAGGTGCCTGACATATGTTGCTAGGTCAGTCATCTACTTCCTATCTGTTACTTTACCAAGAAATAATAAAACCAACAGAAAGAGCTACCAGAGAAAATGCAAACAGGGCTGCTTTTGATGAAAGAGGCTAAAGATTGGTTTTTGAAAATGAACCAGTAGCCAAAAACCTGAAACCAAATGCTCCGGCCTGGTTTGTCCCTTACACACCTTGCATACCTGCTCCTGGCCACTCTGGCCTTAGGGGCTAATATTGTTCTTGTCTGGGGCCTTTGTCCATGCTAATTCCTTGGCCAAGAATGCTCTTCTCTCTGCTCTTTGTCAGGCTAATCTCTCTCCTGTCCTTCGTTTTCTTCCCTTTTATGTCACCTCCCCAGAGAAATTCTGACTCCCAGAGTAAAGCCAAAACCCCATGATCTCACTTTGCGTTCATTGTACTTACAATTTCTAATTATGTTATTTTTGAATTTGCTAAACTGCTGTCTTCCTTAATATATTCTAAACCCCCTAGGTCAGGAGCTCTCCTTAGCGCAAGGTGACTTTCTATAATGGATGCTGTTGAAAGAAATTAAGTGAGAATAATAAAAATGAATGAACAAATAAACACCCCCAGCAGTACACGTACATCATATCCTGCTACTTTTTGATAAATTTGATTTAGAAGATTTGAAAGACCACACGGGTTCAGCAGAGTCCTGGCAGCAGTTTAGGTGCCAATGAGGGAATTTAATTCATTTGCTACCAATATTTGATAGTAAAATATTTGACATTTTATATCTACAATAAAAAAAATGCACCTCCATTTTAGGAGGCTGGAGGTGGGCGAATCACCTGAGGTCAGGAGTTCGAGACCAGCCTCACCATCTCTACTAAAAGCACAAAAAATTAGCCATACATGGTGGTGCATGCCTGTAGTCCCAGCTATTCTACTTGGGAGGCTGAGGCAGGAGAATCGCTTGAACCCAGGAGGCAGAGGTTGCAGTTGGCCAAGATGGAGCCATTGCACTCCATTGAGAGACTCATCTCAAAAAAAAAAAAAAGGCAGAAATCTCTTTGCTACTACAAATTCAGTTTAGTTGAAATTAGACATATGTGTATTTACTTCTGCATCTCATTTAAAACAACCTTGAAAGCTTTGGTTATGGTACACAGGAATTGCTTTAATTGGGTCATTTCTTTGAGAAGAAGGAATTTTAAGGAAGAGGTAATGGAGAGCAGAGATATTTTTGCAGCAAGCCTTATAAAGATAAAAAAAAATGCAGAAAAACATGGATTGCACAATTGCATTGTCCAAAAAGGAAGAAAGATTTTTGTAAGAGGGACTTTGGTGATGTTAGCAATGGGTGGGGATACAGGAGAAGATATCTCAGAATCATACAAGAAGTATAGAACATTTGCAGAAAGGAAGGAGGAAAAAAAACAATATATACAACATATTATTAACTTCTACCTTAAAAAAGGAAGATCCTGGGAATTTCCAGCAGGTCTTGTCTGGTCAGAAACTCTACATGAGTTTACACATGCTGCATCCTGCATGAAGATGTTGAGTTAAGGTGCTAGGAGGAAACTCCAGTCCAGGCCCTGCTCACTAAACCCTGGAGGAAGGGTATCTTATTCTCAAGAACACCAAGTTCCCATGGGTGCTAGTAGAGACCCTTGGCTATAGTCAACGGAAAAAAATATTACAGCATGTTATTGTTAATTTCAGATGTTTCTTTAGAGAACCATCTTCATGGTATCACCCAGATACATAAGACTTATAAAGAGACTTAGACTCCCACACAATAATAGTGGGAGACTTCATCAATATTAGACAGATCAATGAGACAGAAAATTAACAAGGATATCCAGGACTTGAACTCAGATCCCAAACAAGTAAACTTAACAAACATATATAGAACTCTCCACTTTAAATACACAAAATATACACTCTTACCACATCACACCTACTCACGGGCTTAAATGAAATATTGGTTGGCTGCTTGTTTGTTATTTTCATCCCTAATTTTTTTTTCCTGTTTCCATGATTAAGCATAAAAGAGGTTTTCAATACCCATTTTTAGACTGCATTCTAGCCCAGGCAATAAAGCAACACTTCTGTTCTCTCTTCTTCTTCCTCTTTCTTCCTCTCCTTCATTCTTTTTATATTAAAAAAAAAAAAAAAAAAAGAAGAAGACGACCCTTCATGATGTGGCCTTGAGTCACTTTCTCAGCTGTATCTCCCCTCTCCCTTATCATGCTGTCATCCAGCTACCAGATCTGCCTTCCAGACTGAAAGGTTTATTCTGACAGCTATTGGCACTGCTGTTGGTAGTCAGCCCTCAGCTGTCATCCCTTTTCAGAAAAAAAAAAGAATCATCTTCATTATTTTTAAGATAGTACTATTTTTTTCCTCCATAGATTTCAGGTTCTTGAGAATTACTAGGAGTTAACTTCTGAGGTTGGAGATAATGGCCCTTGATCTGCCCTTTCCTTTTATTTGAAAGACTCTCAAATTATGTAATAAAATTTTGTTCATGTTCCTAAAACAGAATTGTCTATAAAAGACAATCAAGATATGCCAGATACATTTGGGTTTCATCCAAAAATGTTTAGTTCCTGAAACACCAGTTCCTTTGTAAGATGGTCTCACGCTTTAAAGGATCTCATAACAAAGCTGAAAACAGTTATTTTGAAGTGTGGCTATAGTATCTGCTTAATTTAGAGCAGATTCTACTTACAGGAAATCAGAAACTATATTATACTCCATTGTGGTAATAGTTTCTCCTTGTTCCATACATGTTTATATTACTGTTGAATTATATGTTCTTTAAAGACATTGGATGAATAATCATTACAGCTAAAATATATTGATAAATTAATAGATGCCTGGCACTGAGCTAAGTGACAATTTTTTTATATGAAGCAAAGGTATACTTCTTTATTATTGACGCAGGAATGTTAAACACTGAAAGGTAGGGATAATAAAGTTCAGGCACTTGAGAAGGATAATTTCTGTGTTTAGAACCTTGGGATGACAGGCCTTCAGAATTAACTTTAAAATAATACATAGATTAGGCACAAAGTGGTCATGCTTAGTGCTTTAAACTTTTAAAATTAATTATATAAGGTTGGTGTTATAATTCATGTAAAAGGATGTTCTTTAGAAAATATATTGCATGATCTGGCATATCATTTATGGTCCTGATAAATGATAAAAACTGATACTTTTTCAAAAGTGGTATAAAAGGTAAGGATTTAATTGCAGTAGTTTCTTATATGTTTATATGCACAAACACAGATAGGGTTACACAAATACTTCTCACCATTTCATCATCTACTGATGTATCACAAACTACTGCAAAATTTAGTGACCTACAGCAACAATCATTTTATTGCATTTCACTCTTCTGTGGGTCAGAAATCTGAGCAGGGCTTTGCTGGGTAGTCTCTTTATTCCATGTAGGGTTGATGGAGGTCACTGAAAGATAATCAGCTGATGGATGGGTTGGTCTGGAGGATTCAGTAAAAAACCAGTGGAATTCAACAGGGGATACTAGAAGGCGGGGCTCAGCTGTCATGACCAAAGGATGACCAGAGGCCACATACAAGTTGCCTTTCTAGTATGGCAATCTCAAGCTAGCTGAACTTTTGACACGGGAGCACAGGGCTCCAGAGAAAACATTCCAAGAGACCCCAGCGGAAAATGCAAGTTTCCTTATGGTTTAACTTAGAAAATCCTAGAATATCACTTCTTTCATATTCTATAGTTAAGCAAGTCACTGAGGCCAGCTCCTTCAAGAGTAAGGAACAAGACTACTCAACGGGAAGAGAACAAATAACATACGGCCAACTTTATTTAGTCTGCATACATCTAGACCAACTGATGAAGTGTCTGGAACACAACTATCCATAGGCTCTCTACATCAACAATCTTGGAAGACTTAAGCCTGGATGGACAATGTCTACTTCTGCATCATGTTCTGGTCTTCTGCCCATGGAAAAATCAATCAAATCCCCAGCTTTGAGCAGTGGATTCCTGTGGTACGTGGCTGCCCCACATCTTCTACTAAGCCATTATGACCAAAATGTTTTTGTTTTTTTAAAGAAAGAGTCTCACTCTATCACCCGGGCTGGAATGCAGTGGCCCGATCTCACTCACCGCAACCTCTACCTCCCAGGTTCAAGCCATTCTCACGCCTCAGTCTCCCGAGTAGCTGGGATTACAGGCACCTGCCACTAAACCAGGCTAATTTTTGTATTTTGTGGAGATGGGGTTTCGCCATGTTGGTCACGCTGGTCTTGAACTCCTGACCTCAGGTGATCTGCCTGTCTTGGCCTCCCAGTGTTGGGATTACAGGCATGAGCCACTGCACCCAGCCAAAAAAGTCTTTTTGTGTATCCTGTGTCTATTTATTAGTTTCAGAACTTTTCCCAGTCATAGGATCACAGAAGGTCAGAGCTGGAAGGGACCCCAGAAATAGTCTGATTTCATTTTACAGATGAGGAAGTTTAGGTTCTTGTGACCTAAAGTCAGAAACTGCTTAGTGACAGAGCCACAGCCTAGATCTCCTGTTGCAATGCATGAAGAGCTTAGGTAATCCTGATTTATCCATGGAATAGGCAGCCTATTTACCTGATTCTTCTCTTAGAAACAGTCCATCTACCATGATTTGCCTTCCTACTTCATCATGAAGCATTTAAAAAGAAACTATTCATTCCAACTTCAACAGTTTAATCAAGTATTTAACTCATTTTTTCTCAGTCCATATTTTAAAATGTTTACTGAGCATCCATGAAGTTGACAGCACTGTCCCTAGCACCAGCCTCTGCAGCTGAACAAATAAATACAGACACACTTTCAGATGGGGGCTGCCTGCAGAGATGCTTCCCTTCTAGTTAGAAAGTAAGAAGACACATTTCACTATAGTCACTTTACTCTAGGTCACATATTTGATTACGCTACTTTATCTTTAAGAACCTCTCTAGGTTGGGCCCAGTGTCTCACACCTATAATCCCAGCTACTCTGAAGGCTGAGGCAGAAGAATCCCTTGAAACCAGGGGGCGGAGGTTGCAGCAAGCCGAGATCCCATCTCTGCACTCCAGCTTGGGCAACAGCGAAAGACTCCGTCTCAAAAAAAAAAAAAAAAAGAAAAAAATACTTCTGTAACACAGTTCCCTAACCTCCTTTGTTTGCAGAACAGACGAAAGGGCCAAGTCTTCTTCCCTTAGAAACAGCCCATCTGTTCAAGGATTCTGAGATTTTTGCCTATCCAGAGCATCAATTTGGAATGGGTGTAAGACTACCCACAAATCAATGTGATGGTCCAGTTGTTACTGTTCCTTTTCTTGCACCAGACGTTTGCTCATTAGATGAGGTGACTGGTAGCTCTGACTTTCTGGACCACAGGACTCTAGGTGGTTGCCCGAAGTACAGTTGTGGCAGCTGGTATTTCCTGTTTATATGGTGCCCGGGCACCATTAGCTTTTGTCTTCTGCTGCAGCTAATGTGTCTTTCTCGTGGGGGAGGGGTAAGGGAAGGGGGAGGGGGACAAGACCCACCTCTGACGGTGACACCTCCTCGACATCACGTCCACGCTGGTACTCAGCTCCCGGAACTGGGCGGGATCCCTCTTCCCGCTCAGCTGGGAGATGCCCCAGGCGGGCATCCCCGGCTCTGGGCGGCCAGGGTAGCAGCCCACCCCCATCCACTCCGGGGACCTCCAGGGGCCGCGTGAAGGCAGGTGTTCCGGGGAGAACGTGGAAGTGAGGGGGTACCCAGGGCTGGCGGTGCTCGGTTGGGGGCCGCAGTTGGCTCCCCCGTGGGCTCTGGGCCAGAGCCGCTCCCGCCCATGGGGAGGAGAAGGAGCCGGATGGGCGGGTTCAGGCGCGCGCGGCGGCGGGTCCCGGGGCCGCCGGCTCCTCCCCGCGAGGGTGCCTGTCCGCCGCTCGCCGCGCTGAGGCAGTGCGGGGCGGGCGCGCCTAGGCTGCCGCCCAGCGCCCTCGCCGCGGCCATGCCCGGGCCCTAGCGCGCCTGCCGCAGCCCGCGCCCCGCAGCCCCGCAGCCCCGCAGCCCCGCAGCCCCGCGCCCGCCGCCGCCTCTTCAATGGGCAACCTGCTGGGCGGGGTCAGCTTCCGCGAGCCCACCACTGTGGAGGACTGCGACTCCACCTGGCAGACCGACTCGGAGCCCGAGCCCGAGGACCCGGGGGCGGGCGGCGGCAGCGAGGGCCCGGGGCAGGAGCCCGAGCAGCCCGCGCAGTCCCCGGAGCAAGCCGGCGGGCGGCCCAGCGCCAGCCCCGCGCCGGACGAGGACGCCGAGGCGGCGGGCGCCGAGCAGGTACGTGGCCCGGTGGTGGCCTCGGGTTGGGTTGGGTCGGGCCGGGGCGCCCCAGACAGGGACGAGCGCCCAGCCGCCCTCGTACGGGGAGGACAGGGCGCTGGGCGCTGCTCGCCTCTGAGACCCGGCCCCTCGGTGGAGCCCGGGGGCCTGCCGGGGCCGCCCACTGCCGGCCTGGGGCCTGGCCGAGGGCACGGCGGGGAAGTCCCTCAAGGCAGAATCCAACTTGAATGGGTGTTTTCTTTGCCTCTGCAGCGCAGCTGGGTTATGCTAAGGTGGGGTGGGAGGAATCTGTCTAAAAATAGAGGATTGTGACAACCCCTCTAGTGAGTGTTATTGGGAGAAAAAAAAAATTACTCAGAGTAAGATGGGGCTACAAGAGCAGGCAGCCAGCGCTCTCCTCCTACAGTGGAGGCTAAGCCGTCAGAAGTGTGGCCCCCGTTTGAGGTTCATACGTCACTGATCTGCCCAACTCAGGCCTTTCAACCTAGGATTCAGGGCACTCTTCACGAATCTTATTTCACCAGAAGACTTGTTGATCCAACTGTGCTTGAACCATTTGACTAATACAGCTTGGAGAGGTTAGTCAAACGATAAATAACCCCCTTAACCTCTGATGGACTGAAAATAATCAGGAACTTTTAAAAGGAGGAAATACATAGCCGACCCTCAGAAGAAGCGTGTACATCCTTGAGGTGGTTCAGGTTTGCCGCTCCGCATTAGGCCCTTCTTTTTATCAGCTATGGGCAATCGAGATTGGACTTCGGATTCCGTTTTCTCAATGTGACCACAGGGTTTTGGGGGAATTATTACCTCAATATTACAGCTACTGCTGCCTCAACCATCTTGATGAACAACTGTTTATGATTTGCTCCTTACCTAAATGAAGTCTTAGTGCAGGCTCTGTGCTAAACGTGCTGTTTAAATGAACTACAATTTTGCGGTGGGGGTTTGCTGTGTGGTCTCCGTTTTAGAGAAAACTGAGGCTTAGAGAGAAAAGAAAACTTGCCCAAGATCATTGAGGGAGAAGATGATGCAAACCTAAGTCTATCACTAATATCAGAGCCTTGGACTTGTGGAATTGTGAATTTCCATCTGCCCCTGTGTCTGGTTTGCTACTGTTGTTTTGCATTGCTAATTCAATCTTATTAAATTATTAGATGCTGCATTCTCATGTTTTTCCCTTCCATTTGTCTCCCAATTAAGTAACCTCCTACAGAAATTTGGGATATCAAAAAACACCAGCTAAGATTCAATCCTGCTAACCAGGTCCGTCTATATGAAATTTTTAAATAATGTTTCAGTCAGTTCATTGCAACTCCAGTAACTAGTACACTACACCATCCCTCCCTATTCCCTTTTAATGGTTAATTTTTCTTGTTAGTATCAACAGCTGACTTCCAAAAAAAAAAAAAATCTGCTTTTCAATTTTGCCTTTTGACTTTCAGCCCGTTTGTTGTCTCTTCCTTAGAATCAATCTACTTGCAGGTAATACTGGAGCTACTTTTAAAGCGTATCCCAGATGGACTCCTTCACACTGCTTCCATTACATCATCCTAGTCCCTCTGAATATTGGACAAATGATGGTGACATTAACGAAGACAGGGAAGTCTAGGGTGAATGTAGCTTTAGAGGTTAAGTCAAAGATTCTCTTGAGTTTGATATCCTATTAGACATCCAAGTGGAGTTGTTGGATAGTTATTTATTTGTTGGGTAGTTATATTACATCTATGAAAGGAGACTTAGTCCAGGACGAGCGTCCTCAGCATCTGAGATCAATGGTGTTTAAAGTCATGGGAAGATAAGGGGTTATTAAGGTATGATGAGGAATGAGGGCCCTGGGCACCCCTCCATTTAGAGCGTATGAAGAGGAGGAGGAGCCAAAAAAAAGGAGGCTGACAAGGGGGGCCCAATGAGACAGGAAATAAACTAAGAAAGTCTAGTATCCTGTAAGCCAAATACTGACAGTGTTTCAGGAAGGAAGGATGCTTTAATTGGCCCAGTGCTGTTGGGAGGTCACCTGAGGTGAACATTAAGAAATGGTTTGGCAAGATGGAGATTTATTGAAGTTCACAAGAACTATTTTGTTGGAGTGCTGAGGACAAAAGCCTGATTGAGGTGGGTCATGGGAAAATGGGGAAATAAGAGAAGGAAACAAAGTCTGGGCAATTCTTTGGTGGTGATCTATAAGAAAGGAGCAGATATATGGATCTGTAATTGAGGATAGACTTGTGTCAAGGAAGGTTTTGTATGTTTAAGATCCAGAAGAGGGAAATTTTGATGATCCAGGGAAGATGAACAATATGTTGTTGAACAACAGAATCCTTATTTGAGCAGGTGAAAGAGGTCTGGGTAGAGTCCAGAGGGAATAGGGGTTGTAAGAGCAGGAGCAGATGCTGGCAAGACAGTCATTCTTACGATAATCCTGAGAAATAGGTAGGGCATGAGTCATTATCTTTATTTCACAGATGATAAAACTAAGATTCAGCTAAATGATTTGCTTAAGGCCTCACAAATATTAAGTAGCAGAGTTAAGATTCCTCATCTTCTGACTCCAAGTCTTGGGCTACTGCTACTACACCAAGGTTCCCATACATCCTTCATTTTTAGTGTGACAGATTGATTCAGACCTGTACTTGCAACCCAGAGCCTGGGATTCTTGTTCTTCCACTATCACTGGACTCTGGGTGGTGTTCAACTTCTCTAAGCCCCGATACCTTGTTTCTAAGATGGAAACACAAAACTGTCAGTCAGGTGTGTTTGAATCAAATTAAATAATATACAAGTAAGTGCTTTGTAAACGGAGAGTGCTTTCTATACAAATGTAGGATGATGATTCATATGGTTGTAGTTGAGGCTAAATAGATTCAGAAACTTGCTAGGCAGAGCTATTTTGAAACGTGTGGCAAGGACCAGAAATCAAGCTTTTCCTTGCTTATGTAACATGAAAGAGTAATTAATGTTAAGCATCAGAAGATTTGGTGTTGAAGTAACTCTGTACTCGTAGTAATAGTGAGAATCATCCATTTCAAAACTGTGTGAAGATTACTTAGAGGATGCCAGTCTGTCAACACTGACGGAGGACAGGGGTTGAGGAGAAAATAATTTGGGGCAAAGCTTTTAATGACTCTTAAAGGTCTAAAGTTTTTCTTTTTAGTCATTGTCATCAGCACTTTCTCGTACATCATAATAGTACATATAGGGAATGCAAATCGATTATATTAACCTGCATCTTACACTTTAAAAATCACTTCATGGTGATAGAAATTTTGCTTAGAGTTTAAATAGTATGAGTAAACTACCACATAAGTTATTTCAATTGGACATCATTCCATTTGAGAGCATTTTATTGCTTTGTGTGTATATATTTTAAATGTTTATATCACATGATTATTCATGCCTTTGTGTATTTGTCAAGGTGTTATAAAGGATGGAGTTTAGAAATCTAGTTTTGAAATCCTTTCTTTTCATAAATATTACTTGACTTCCAAGTACAGCTAAATGTTGCAAATTTAATGACAATTTTCTTTGTAGAATTGATTTAGTATCTTAACACATTCTTAGTATTTTGTAAAATATTCTAAAATAAGTTTTATCATAGAATCACTTGCACAATCATTTGGTAAATGTCTTGAATTCCTTTGAGTTCTCTTTCTGATAGATATTGATCCATAACATTGGCCTCTATAGGTTTTTGGTTAATAATAAAGTGTTTCATTCAGTAATATATCTTAGAACAAATGTTGTTGGTTCAAATAAGCAAAATAGAATGCTAATATTACTAGTAAGCATTATTAAAGGAACATTTATAATATTTTCATCAATTTGGACAGATTGACCATTTTCAGGCTTTATGGATCGTCATTATTTTGTTTGTTCTAGAAATTTCTTGCTGAAATTGTCTTGCATCAACATGTAAATGGAGTTTCACTTTTTATTTCAGGGTGATGATTCCACTGAAGCAACGGCCAAACCAAAGAGAAGTTTTTATGCTGCGAGGGATTTGTACAAGTACCGACACCAGTACCCAGTAAGAGTATAGAATATTATTTTCTAAAATGTAAACTATTTTCCTTCCGTTTTTAAGTGTATGGTGCGACTGAGAAAACATGCATGAAGGGTCCTTATACCTATACTATATTTCTATGTTCTGGAGATTGATCTATTTTTTTCTTTAGCAGAACTTCAAAGATATCCGATATCAAAATGACTTGAGCAATCTTCGTTTTTATAAGAATAAAATTCCATTCAAGCCAGATGGTGAGTAACATATACTTGGTAAATTGCATTAAATAATCACATACACTTGGTTTATTTTGTGGTTTATTTCATAGATTGGATTTACTTTGCTCTGCAGTCTAATATGTCCCCCATGTCCTAGATCATAGGCCTGTGAGCATGCACTTGGTCAATTCTGGAAGAAGAGCTACGGATTAATGATACCTTCCCACCACCTGTTTTCATTGCTATTATCTGAAAGACAGTAGGGACAATCTTCGTCAAAGGAAAAGAGAGGAGATATATAGAACCATAGAATTTTAGGTTATCAAGGAACATTGGAGAAGATCAAATTCAGCTTTCTCATCTCAAAGATTAGGTCAGTAGGACTTAAAGCTTAGATGACTGACTTGCACGTCACTCAATTGCAGGTTCCAGAGTCCACTGTTCTTTCCATTGTACCATA